ATCATTTCCCATCTTGGCTCATCTACCCGTGTGGATATTTGTCCTCGCAGACTCCGTATCATTTCCTTCTTCATTTCAACATCATTTCAACTTCTTCATTTCTACATCATTTCAGTTTCAGCATTTCCTCATTATTTCTACTTCGTATTCTTCATTTCAACATCATTTCGATTTCTCAATTTCCACATCATTTCCATTTTCTTCATTTCAATATCATTTCAACTTTATTTTAACTTCTTACTTTTTTTTCCGAATCTCTATATTTATTTTTCGCCCTAATTCTGTATGTACATCAGCCTACCAGAAAACAAACACACACGCACAAAACAAACGAAGAAACGGTACCAAAACAGCGCACCTAATAATGGAGAATTGACACGTAAAAAAACAGAAAAACAAAAATAAACAGCAACAACAACATCAAACCACACTTCTTTCACGTAACAAAAAAAGACAAATAAACAACAGCATCAAAACACACTTTTTAGACGTAATAAAAAAAAAAAACATAAACAGTATCAAAACACACTTCTTTCACGTAACAACATCATGAACAACAACAACAAAATAGGCAAATAAACAGCAACAATGACAACAAAACAGTTTTTTTCACGTAACAGAACACACACAAAAAAACACTAATAAACAACAATATCAAAACAAAACAAAACAAAGAAAAAAAATATTAAAACACACTTCTCTCACGTAACAACAACAACAAGAAAAAAAAGGAAAAAAAAACAAGTAATCACCAATCATCAAAACACACTTCTTTCACGTAACAAACAAACAAACAAACAAACAAAACGGACACGACAAAGACACCAAGTAACAACCACAACAACGAAAAACACTTCTCCTCGGCTTACATAACCTCCGAGGTGCGCACTTCAGATGCTCATTGTCGGGTAATCGGATAATTTGAAGCGGGGGGGGGAGGGGGGGGGGTGGAGGGGGAAATAAGGCAAAGGGTAGGTTGGGGGGGTGGAAGTGGGGAGGGGAGGGGGTGTGTGAAGTGGGGAGGAGGGAGGTTGGGAGGGGAGGTGGGAGTGTGAAGGGGGAGGTGGGAAGTGAGAAGGGTGGGTGGGGTGTGAAGAGGGAGGTGGAAGGTGGGGAGGGAAAGGGATGTGAAGGGGGAGGTGGGAAGTGAGGAGGTGGGGATGTGAAGGGGAGGTGAGGAGGGATATGGGAGGGGAGGGATGTGAAGGGGAAGGTGGGAAGTGGGGAGGGGAGGTGGGGGTGTGAAGGGGGATGTGGGAAGTGAAGAGGGGAGGGATGTGAAGGGGGATGTGGAAGGCGAGAAGGGGAGGGGTGCGAAGGGGAAAGTGGGAAATGAGGAGGGGTGCGAAGGGGAAAGTGGGAAATGAGGAGGGGTGCGAAGGGGAATGTGGGAGGTGAGGAGGGTCAGGGAGAGCAAGGGAGGACCGGGGAGGGTAATCCTTGCAGCGGTTGATCTGTTCAATGGCTGTCTCTTTGTCTGGCTGTGTGTCTGCCTTTTATTTTCTGTTTTTTTCTGATTCTCCGTTTCGGTATCACTGCTGCCATTTCTCTGATTTCTCTTGTTTTTTTTTCTATATTCTCTCTCTCTCTCTCTCTCTCTCTCTCTCTCTCTCTCTCTCTCACATCGTCTCTCTCCTCATCTCTCTCTCTCTCTCCCTCTCTCTCTCTCATCTCTCTCTCTCTCTCTCTCTGTCTCTCTCTGTCTCTCTCTCATCTCTCTCTCTCTCTCTCTCTCTCTCTCTCGCTCTCTCTCTCTCTCTCTCTCTCTCTCTCTCTCTCTCTCTCTCTCTCTCTCTCTCTCCCCCTCTCTCCCTCCCCCCCCCTCTCTCTCCCTCTCTCTCTCTCTCTCCCTCCCTCCCTCCCTCCCTCCCTCTCTCCCTCCCTCCCTCCCTCTTCCCCCTCTCTCTCTCTCTCCCTCTTTCCCCCTCTCCCCCTCTCTCTCTCTCTCTCTCTCTCTCTCCCTCCTCTCACTCTCCTCTCGTCTCTCCTCCTCTCTCTCTCTCTCTCTCTTTTCCCTCGGTCTTTTCTCTCTCTCTCTCTCTCCTCTCTCTCTCTCTTCTCAGTCTCCTCTCTCTCTCTCTTCTCAGTCTCCTCTCTCTCTCTCTCTCCACTCTCTCCCCTCTCCTCCCTCCCTCCTCTCCCTCCTCTCTCTCCCTCCCTCTCTGTCTCTCTCTCTCTCGCTCGATCTCCCTCCCTCTCTCCCCCCTCCCTCCCTCCCTCCCTCCCTCCCTCCCTCCCGTCCCTTTCCCTCCCTCCCTCCCTCTCTCCATCCCTCTCTCTCCTCCTCTCTCTCTCTCCTCTTCTCATCCCCCCCCCCCACCCTCTCACTCTCTCTCTCTCTCTTCTCTCTCTCCTCTCTCTCTCTCGTCTCTCTCTCTCTCTCTCTCTCTCTCTCTCTTCCGTCTCTCTCTCTCTCTCTCTCTCTCTCTCCCTCTATCACCTCTCTCCCTCCTCCTCTCTTCTCCACCTCCTCTCTTCCCTCTCTCTCTCTCTCTCTCTCTCTCTCTCTCTCTCTTCTCTATCTCTCTCTCTCTCTCCCTCTCTCTCTCTTCTCTCTCCTCTCCCCCCCTCTCGCCCTCTCTCTCCCTCCTCCCTATCCCTCCCTCCCTCCCTCCCTCCTCTCCCTTCCCTCTCTCTCTCTCTCTCTCGCTCTCTCTCTCCCTACCGTCTCCCTCTCTCTCTCGCTCTCTCTCTCTCTCTCTTCTCTTCTCTCTCTCTCTCCGCTCTCCCTCCCCTCTTCCTCCCTCCCTCTTACTCCCTCCCTCTATCCTCCCTACTCTCTCCTCCCTCTCTCTCTCTCCCTCTCTCTCTCTCTCTCTCTCTCTCTCTCTCTCTCTCTCTCTCTCTCACTCTCTCACGCACACGAGATGAAACCAGATTTCTAAATTTGAAATTGAGATTTCTTGACAAACTCCCACACGTTTAGCTTTTTTTTTCAATTTACATAGCTGTGTAATTTTAGAAAATTTTTAATTTAATTTAATGAGATAAATTAAAGAAACTTAATGCCCATGCTGTTTATTAGTACACACACACACACACACACACACACACACACACACACACACACACACACACACACACACACACACACACACACACACACACACACATATATATATATATTGATCAGGATCAAATGAAATATGAAATGCATTGTAAGATATTTCTTCATTATTATTGAATTATGCAGTGTATTTGCTTAATGATAGGCCTATGTTACATACAAGAATTTGCACGCATTGAAAAAAACACAATAAAGAAATGATTTGTAAAAGATATTTCTCATGTTTGTATATATGTTGCTGTGTATTTGTGTTTGTAAGTGCATAGCCTGTGTAAGGTATTTGTTTTGTTAATTGAATTTTATGTTTATACTATTTATTACAAATTTAAACGAAAGAAAAAAAAAAACGTTCAGTATGAGGGCAAGGATTTGAATAGCATTTTCTGAAAAATTTGCTGACACGTGGAAGTGAGTCGTAAAAATGGCGGGAAATGTGTACATTAATTAGCAGGTTTCCTTTCTCTCTCTCTCTCTCTCTCTCTCTCTCTCTCTCTCTCTCTCTCTCTCTCTCTCTCTCTCTCTCTCTCTCTCTCTCTCTCTCTCTCCCTCTCTCTTTAATTTCTCTCTTTCTCCCTCTCTCTTTAATTTCTCTCTTTCTCTCTCTCTCATTTCCTCTCCACTCTCTCTCTCTCTCTCTCTCTCTCTCTCTCTCTCTCTCTCTCTCTCTCTCTCTCTCTCTCTCTTAATTTGTCTCTCTTATTTTTTTCTGTCTCTTAATTTCTCTCTCTCTCTCTCTCTCTCTCTCTCTCTCTCTCTCTCTCTCTCTCTCTCTCTCTCTCTCTCTCTCTCTCTCTCTCTCTCTCTCTCTCTCTCTCTCTCTCCTAACTCTAACGCCCTTTCTAACACTAATTGTGATCAATAATTAGTTTCCTCCAAAGGTCGCCATGGGGTCGTGAGATAGCAGTTGCCAAGTCATCTTTTATCTAATGAATATTTATACCGCTGATACATGCTTATCGATTTTTTTTTCCTCTCGTGGGATCGTTTTTTTTTTTTTTTTTTTTTTTTTTTTTTTTTTTTTTGGGGGGGGGGGGGGGATTGCGGGACCGTTTATCATGGCGTAAAGCGGTTTGTTTTGGTATCATCTGGATCTCTGTCTATGGCTACACCTGCGCGGATAACGTCATTAGAAAAGAGGGAGGGAGGGAGGGAGGGAGAAGGAGGGAGGGAGGGAGGGAAAAAGGTGGGATGGATGGATGGAGGGAGGGTGAAAAGGGAGGGAAAAGGGTGGGATGGAGAGGGAGGGAGGGAGGGAGGGAGGGAGGGAAAAAGGTGGGATGGATGGAGGGAGGGAGGGGGGAAAGGGAGGGAATGGAGATGGAGGGAGGGGGGAAAGGGAGGGAATGGAGATGGAGGGAGGGGGGAAAGGGAGGGAATGGAGATGGATAGAGGGAGGGAATGGGGGTGGATGGATGGAGGGAGGGAGGGAAAGGGAAGGAATGGGGGTGGAGAGAGGGAGGGAGGAAAAAGGGAGAGAGGGAGAGAGAGAGCATGTGACTGTTTAATTTTGTTACAGTAATGTCAAGTCTGTGTCTGTTTTATCTTGATATATACTAAGTGCGACTATAGTATGTTTATTCATATAAAGAATAATGTTTCTCATTTGCTCTCTCTCTCTCTCTTTCTTTCTTTCTTTCTTTTCTCTCTCTCTTTCCTCTCTCTCCTTTCTTTCTTCTCCCCTCTTTCCTCTTCTCTCCTCTCTCCTCTTATTTCTGCCCTTACTCGTCTCTCCTTCCCCCTCTTCCCTCCTCTCTCCTCTACTCTAACCTCACCCTCTTCCCTCTCTCAAGCCCGAGCGCTTTCATTCTCCATGCTGTCTTCGTTCGCAGATGCCTTTATGAAGTTGTCCTCCCGCGCCTTAGATGTTGAGCCATTTACCCCAAATTCCTTGATTTCCTAGTCCTCTGCTAACGCAGCTCCTCTCCCGCAGGACTGAACTGCCCCTGGAGCGCGAGAGGAGCGTCGCGAGGGAGCGCCCACAGCAGCAGCCATGAAGCCCGTCTACGGCCGCCCCGACCCCGCCGACACCAACAAGCGGGCCACGTGCTACGTGTGCGGGTCTCCGCGCTGCGCGGAATATCCGCTGGCCATCCGACAGCAGGCGGCGGGGCCCTACTTCCCGTTCCTGGAGACGCACGAGCCCCCCGACGGGTCGGAGCCGCCCTCGGCCGACGGGCGCGTGCTGGCGTGTTTCCTGTGCTACTCGTACCTGACGCAGCAGTGGGACCTGTACGAGCGCGACAAAGTGCCGCCCGTCAAGCGGATCTACTGGCTCAAACGCGTCGACAACGGCCCGTACACGGGCGTCGAGGTGGGCGTGCAGAGTGAGTACGCCTCGCAGCTGCTGGGCCTGGCGCCCGACCCACCCGCCGCGGAATCCAAGCGGGCGGGCGCTAGTGGGGCTGCGCGCGGTCAGCCGCCGCCCGCGGTACCAGCGGCGGCGCCCACCGCGCCCGTGGAACCCAAACGGGCCCGAATCGTGCCACCGCAGCCGCAGCCGCCCACAATGCCGCTGCCGCCGCCCGGGGTGCCACCGCTGCCTTTAGGGATTGCGGTACCACAGTTGTGCCCCCAGCAGGAGGCGCTGGACCTGTCGCTGGACGGGCGGCGCGGCACGAAGCGCGGGCGCGAGGAGGAGGCGGGCGCCGCCACGCCGCCGCGCGCGGAGGTGCTGGACCTGCGGATGCCCGACAAGAACGCGCCGACGGAGGTGTGCTACGTGTGCGGCGCGCAGCACAAGAAGGGCACGCTGGTGGGCATCTTCGCCAAGCAGAGCGGCGCGTGCCCGTTTTTTCCCAGCCTGATGCTGCACCCGCGCCCCAGTAAGTCGCACCCTATGGAGGCGTCGGGCCGCGTGCAGGCGTGCCGCGACTGCTTCAGCCACCTGCAGCTGCAGTGGGACGCCTACGAGGCGCAGAAGGTCCCACACGACGAGCGCAACTACTCGCTGCGGCGGCGCGCGCCCCCGCAGGAGGCTGCCGGCTTCGTGTGCTACAAGTGCGGCCGCGAGTGCCCGTCCAGCTCGCTGTGCCTCATGTACTGCAGGCCCAACGCGGACAAGGAGCCCTTCTACCCTTTCATCCAGCGGCTGGAGGCGCCCGAGGGCGCGTCGCCCATCTCGCCGCAGGGCATGGTGCAGGTGTGCTCGTACTGCTGCAAGACCATCCCGCAGGAGCAGAAGATGCTGCAGGAGAAGGAGGAGAGCGCGCGAGTGCGGCCGGCGGAGATGAAGGGCGTCGCGGAGGGCGTGAGTGGGCCGCATGGTAGCGTCGCCCCTCCCCCCGCCGCCACGCCGCCGTCGCAGGCAGCGGCGGCGCGCGGCGCGAGCGACGGCGAGCTGCCCGAGGAGGCGGTGTGCTACCTGTGCCACCAGCCGCACAAGGCGCAGGTCATGCACTGGCTGTCCATGGTGCTCGACCCCAAGAACCCCGAGGCCATGTACTTCCTGTTCCTCAAGTACCAGCCGCGGGCGTCGCAGGGCACGGTGATCGAGGACGGGCGCGTGCTGGTGTGCACGCTGTGCCACCAGCACCTGAGTGCGCAGTGGGCCGAGTACCAGCGCGAGAACGTGCCCCTCGAGCATCGCCAGTTCTCCCTGCGGCACATGCCCATGACCTCGCAGTCGCCGCGCCTCACGCCTCATTCGTCGCCGGGCATCTCCACGCCCACGGACGCGTCGCCGTCGCACCCGTTCGCGCCCGCCATCCCCGCCGCCGCCGCGGAACCCCACTCGCGCGCCACCGAGAACTGCGGCGGCGCGGGCGGCAGCGGCTGGACGGGGCAGCCGCTGCACGCGCTCGAGGTGGTCCCGGCCGACCACGACCCCAACATCCCGACGCTGCCCGTGATCACGACGCAGCGCGCGCTCAACGTCGCCATCAACTGCTTCATCTGCAGCTTCCACTCCAAGCCGGGCCAGACGTACGCCGTGCGCTGCAAGCCGCGCAGCACCGAACCCTTCTTCCCGTTCCTGGCCAAGCACCAGTCGGCGCACCCGGAGGCGCGCGTCGACGAGGCCTATGTGCTCGTGTGCCTGTGCTGCTTCCACTCGCTCATCCTGCAGTGGCAGCGCTAC